ACCTGTGTACCCGTCTTTTTTTTTTAGACAGTGGAAGGGAGAGAAAGGAAGAGAGAGAGAAACGTCGACATGAAAGGGACACATCGAGTGGCTGCCACCCGCACAACCCAATCAGGGCCGGGGACAAACTGCAACCGAGGTAAGCACCCTTAGCGGGAACCGAACCGGGTCTCTCTGGACCGCAGGCTGACCCTCTAACCACTGAGCCAAACCAGCCAGGACTCTTCTTAAATTTTTTTTTAGTCCATTGCCTTCCATGTATCTGATCCTTTAACAGCCCTGTCACTTTGTTCTTGTTGTTCAGGATCAGAGCTGTGGTGGAATGGGGACATGCCTGACTGGTGAACAATAACCACCACTGGTTTTCCACCTTGTAGTTCTTAATCACTTTTAATTTTGTTTCCAGGTGAATCGCTCATCATGGCCTCTTACTGACAACATTAGCAGTGGATTTTGTACACTTAGGAGCCATGATAAATAACACTAGATTAAATTAAGCACGAGAAAATGATGCCATCAAGAGACATGGTAAACACAAAATGTATGAAGTTGCTGCTGGTGTAACATGGCACACTGTTTTACAGCAACTTTTTTTTTTTTTATAAGTAGAAAGAGAGCACTTTGAAGTAATAATAAAAAGTATAGTATACAACCTAATAACAGTCATTCATTATCACTACCAATTATATATACCACTATAATTGTGTGTGGTATACTTTTATATGACTGGCAGCACAGTAGGTTTGTTTACACCAGCATCACCACAAATCCTTGAGTTATGTGTTGCACTATGGCATTATGACAGCTACAATGTTACTAGGTGATAGGAATTTCTCAGCTTCATTATAATCTTACGGGACCACCATGGTCTATTATTGACTAAAACGTCATATGTGCACATGACTGCAATAAAATAACAGAAATTAATAAAATAATGATAAAGAGAATAAACAAACCCAAAAGCTGATTCTTTAAAAACATCAATGAAATAGCTAAAATACTGAGAATATTAACCCAGAGAGCAAGAGAAAAAACCCACAACTAATTAATATTAGGAATGAAAAAGGAGTCATAATGACAGAAGCATTCATCATTTAAAACATCGGAAGAGGCCCTGGCCAATGTGGCTCAGTTGGTTGGGTGCGGTCCCATGCACCCAAAGGTTGCCAGGTCACTTCCCGGTCAGGGCACATGCCCAGGTTGCAGGCTTAATCCTGGTAGGGGTTGCAGTAGGATATTTTGCTCTCACATCAATGTTTCTCTCTCTCTCTCTCTCTCTCTTTCTCTCTCTCTCTCTCTCTCTGTCTCTCTCCCTCTCCCTTCCTCTCTCTCTAAATATAAAATCAATAAAAAATCTTTAAAAAGAAAAATATAAATCTGAAGAAAACACTAACAAATTTATGGCTATAATAGCATTTGAAAAACTTACATAAAATGGGAAAAATTAGAAAAATCTGACCTACTAAAATTGATATCAGAAGCAAATAGAAAACCCAGATATTCCAGTTACCATTAAAGAAATCCAATCAGTAGTTAGAAATTTCTCCCCAGTTATCCCAACTGCCCACCTCAAAATATATTCTAGGTTCAGATGATTGTATTTTTATTTTATTGATTTTAGAGAGAGATAAGAAGGGAGAGAGAGAGAGAGAAACATCAATTTGTGGTTCCATTTATTCATTCATTCATTCACTGGTTGCTTCCTGTATGTGCTCTGATCAGGATCAAACCTGCAACCTTGGTGTATGGCATATTAGGACAAGACTCCAACCAACTGAGCTACCCGGTCAGGACCTCAGATGATTTTAAAAAGCAAATTTTTACTAAACCTTGGTTGAAAAAACAATCCCTATTTATCTTCTGGTTTGAAGATGTTATTGCCATCTTTGACCTCCATGTTTTCTTATGATAAGTCAGCGGTAATTCCTATTACTATTCCTTTGTATGTAATATACCTTTTTCTTATGGCTGCTTTCAAGATGTTCTTGGTTTAGAGCAATTCATTTTTGGTTACAGCAGTTTGACTATGATGTGCTCTCTCCTTATTCTTCAGTATGTGTCATTTCCCAACCGCATGCCTATGTAAACCTTATCTGCTTCATAAACAGATGCCCAGATCAAGTTAAACTGCCCATTCCTGGCAATCATCACAGCCTGCCTGGTAATAGAGAAGTAGATACACCCAGCATTTATCCCTTACATTACAACTTTAATGGGTTCCTAAGCTGAGCCAAAATATTCATGTGTCTGAAACATGCCATTACATGTTCTGAAGCAGCAAAGAAATTATAGATGGGCTTCAGACAAAGAGAGATAGCTCCCAAGTAGTTCTCCTGATGATAAACAGTGGTTCTGGTGAAGAAATGTGACCTAGAGATTCCACAGTTCTGCCAAATTGCCCCTTTAGTGATCTACTAAAAGCCTATGCAAAGCCCTGGGTATGGGCTGTGGAACCTCTTACAGCCTGGGTCCTCACCCCACATTGCCACATGTTGTCCATAAACCCAGGCCAGTGACAGTTCTTGGGAGTCCAAAAAATGACTACCTTAGTTTTAGACCCATAAATCATACTAAAATTGGAAACAGCCCCAACAATTCTGGGTTGGTAGATGTTTCTCCCAAGATGGTAGCACACCTACCTCTACACATTCACAGTTGTCTTGGCTTATACCGAACCTTTCTATTTAGAACCTTTAGAGTGTCCATGAGCCACTGTTTGGAATAGTAGGGTCCCCAAGCTCAACAAGTGTAATCAGGGCCGACGCCCTCGTGTGGGATATTGCCAGGAGTGCAATGTGATGGCTGGTCAGTAGAACTCAGAGTCCCTTATTCAACAACCTGGTTTCCACCTCTTACTTATTTTCACACATAGTATAGAGATTACTTTTGTAGAAGGAAATCCTGCCTTTGTGACAACATAGAAGAGCTTAGAGGGCATTATGCTAAGTGAAATAAGCCAGACACAAAAAAACAAATACTGTGTGATTTCACTTCTATGTGGAATCTAAAAATCTTGAATTCATAAAAGCAGAGAGTAGAATGGTGGCTGCTAGGGGCAGGGAAGCAGATGGGAAAGTGGGGAGATGGTCAATGGTAACAAAGAGTAAGTTCTAGAGACCTAGTGTACAGCATGATGACTACAGTTAACAATATTGTATTGTGTGTTTGAAATTTCCTAAGAAAATGGATCTTAAGTGTTTTCACCACACATGATAACTGTGTGAGGTGAAAGATATGTTAATTAGCTTGATTGTGGAGATCATTTCACAATGTATATATCAAAACATCACATACTTTTAAATATGTATACAATGTTTATTATACCTTAATAAAGCTGGGAATAATGAAGTTTACTTCTGTGACAGTTGCTTGTTATTTCAAACAAGATCTTATTTTAGCAATTGAGTTGTTGGCCTAGCTGTTGTTCCAAGAAGCCAGGAAAGACCTTCAGTGGGTCTGCCTTTGGGCTATGCAGAGCAGGGACAGGTCTGGGACAGGATGGGCTTGGGGCAAGTTTCCCCTGACTTCCTTGGGGACTTCCCGCAGTGGCTCTCAGCTTCAGCACCGCCACACAGTCTGGGTAACTCCTCCCTTTGGTAATTTTTCCCTTCAAGGGTGGGTGGGGGTGGGGCAGCTTGGGAAAAAGTCTTAGCTGCTGTTTAAAACAGCCGAGACAATTAAATGGGCAGCTCCAGTTGGTGTCCTGAGAGGCTGAAATCCTACACCTTTTTTCTTCTGATAAAATTGATTTTGACATTCACTTCTGGAGTTACTCTAGTTTTTAAGCAAACGTCCATTGTGATGTCAAGAGCCACTTGGGCACGTCCGAGAGTTGTGTGATGTAGCTCTGGACCAGGGACAAGTCCACGGGGAAGGCTAGCTTCTGAGAAGCCCATCGAGAAGCACTATCTTTCACCTCGAGTTTGCTTCTCGATGAGCTTCTCCCTGGGCAAACTCAAGGAATTCCTGGCCCACCCTGACAAAAAGGGGATGGGAGAGAGCTCTACCACGATCCCAGGCCTTTAAATTATCCAAAAATTATGCTGGTGGGCAACAAAAAACAAATCTTTAGCGCATTTTACAATTCTATTTCAGATCCTCTTACTTCACTTCTATGTTTCATTTTAGGTTCCACCTCTTTAAAACTCTAGTTCCCACCCTTCTGCTTTCCCAGTCTTGACTTGCAGAACTCTCTGGAACATGGTTTACATTCGTTATTTTTTTCTTCCTACTTTTTGTTGCTTTAGATGATCCCAGCCAGATTCAGTCCTAAATGGGCCCTTCTTTAGCTTTTTTGCCAATGTTCTTTTAAGGTGTTAGACTGGTCCACAGTGGGTGGTGGGGCAAAGTGGGTGAACATATTCCAGGAAGGAGCAAATGTGTTTGCAAATGGGGAGGTGATGATGGTGAGCCAAAAGAAATGCTACCACCACTTCCCATCTCTCCTGAAGTGAGGAGACTAAACAGCTTCCATTCAGGGGACTCAAGGGCAGCAGACTACCAAGAGAACCAGTGGTCAGCTAAGGAATACAGTGAGGGAATTCTGCAAGGACACTGATGATATAGGCTAGTTTGTTTAGGGCATCATGGAATATCCAGTAGGCATGTTGGAGGATCTTAAAGGCCACTACTAGGGAGGAAGCACAGACATGACAGTAAAGATGAGAACTGATGATCAGAGAGTCTTGCATTTAGGATGGGCAGCAAAAAAAAAAAACAAAACAAAAAAACAGGATAAGAAGGTTGGTAAGAACTGACTGATACAGGTGATGTCAGATGACACCTGAGGCTTGAAGAGGCTCATGGCCTCTGGTAAAAAGCGATTGCAACAGTGGGCTAAGTAAACTTGGAGGCCTCAGTCTCTGAGGGTCAGGACTGGAGATATTCAGTATAAGGTGAGACCAGTCTCCTAGGAAGTTTTTACTAAAATCATTGGGAGAGGGTGTTCAGTATCCCTCAGGACACTTGTCTTGTAACGGGTTGATTTTTTCTCTGTATAGCCCAGTGAGGAATGCTCTCCCACTGTACTGTAGAAAAAAGGAAGAGAAACAATTTCAAGAAGACCAAAGGTGAGAAAATTTTTACCATGCACATCTACATAGTAGAAAATGACTTTATTCAAGACATGCAATATTTCAGCTTTTGGTCATTTTACTGTTAGCAGAATAGAGGCTGGTGAATTTCTCTATACAATTACTTGCTTGCACAATGAGTTGAAGGTCTCTGAGGGAACTTGCCTCCATCTGTCACTTATATTTTAAGGAAAAATCAACAATAGGTAGACGGAGCCCCCCTCTCATCCCTGGAGACAAAGCCCAAGTATTCATAGTCCAGTATTTTGTTCTCAAGTTTTCATGTAGAAGAGTTCAAGACCTTTTTGCTTTGGAGTGATTTTCTAACTTTACCTATCAAAATTTTTCTTTTTCTAATAAAACTCCTTCTTCAAGCAATAGCTAATACAAAACCACACTGCATGAAACAGAAAAAACTCAGAATTTTATTAGTGTGTATTTATTTTATAAATTCACATTTATAACATTTTACTTCACATACTGTCAAATAAATGAAAACAGCGAGGGCATTTTTATGAGTATAAAAACACATGAAATCAAGGTTGAACAGTATTGAAAAATATAACTTAGAAAGGCAAATGATCATACAAGAATTTTTTATAAAAAGATGCTTTTCTTACAATCTCAAGATATTTTTCAGTTAAAATTATCCACAATCAGAAAGGATAACTTATTGTTTCAAAGTCGAATCACTAGAAATAGTGTACAATGGCTGGAATTCTTATCACAGCATAACAGACATGAAACACTCAAACTTAACCTAAGAGCTAAAATAGTTTCTAATGCAATGTTGTCACAACTTGACTCACAGATTACATATTTACTTGCTATGGCACAACTGTTAGAACAGTAAAGAGAGCACGCATTGAGCACACAATAAGCATCATGAAGACAATAAGTCTCAATATATTGAGGACTTTCTATCTTCCAGACATCATGCTAAGTGCTTAAGAGGCATTATGTCACTTGATCTTAACATAGCCCTATTCTATTACCTTCTCATTTTTCTGGTGAGGAAACTGATGTTCAGAGGAGTTAAGCAACTTTGTTGTACACACAAAGTTACCATGCTGTGCTACATCAACTAGCATTTCACTGAATGGTGCTCGTGGCTCTACTAGCACACTTGACATCAAGGACACACAAGGGCCTGATTTAAACATCCATGAGGAGCTATAGATCCCTTAATCTATGAACATTAAGAGAAGTTGGGGTGTGGTGGGGAGAGGTGGAGGAGGGTATAGGGGCATAACTGGTGATAGAAGGAGACTTGACTTGGGGTGGTGAACACACAATACAGTGGACAGATGATGTATTGTGTAATTGTTGTTAACCCATGTCACCCAAATAAATTCAATAAAAAGGAAAAAGAGAGAAATTGGCTACATGCTCAGATAGCGCAAAGGAATCTTTTTTCCAAGGTCTGTAAACAAAAGTGAGCCTGCTGGTGAATGCCTGGGTGTTAAGATGTGGATATCAACACACTTGCTCCTACCTGTTATTTATTAGAGATTTAAAGGGTTTGAAATACATTGTAAAGATGGCACTGCTGAAAAGTCTCTGCACAACTTGAAAACTACAATGATGGTGGAGGGTGGATTAGCAAATAAGAGAGTTCGAGACTCCTGCCTTTGCTCTGCCACTTGTTAGCAATTTGATGTGGAGGAGACCACTTAGCTCCTTGGAGCTTCTGTTATTCTTTCTCTTTCAAAAAAAGCAAAATTATACACATTGGGGTTGCTGTACACATTAAATGAGAGATGCAAACAACACCTGGCATTTAGGCCCTCAACTGTGAGTTCCTATCCCTCCTTTTTGCCTATGTCACTACTAAAAATCTTCTCCAACTAGATGGGCCTGCTCACTAAATCCAAACTCTCCAGCTAGCCCTCCTGTACTATCTGCTCTTTCTTGAGGGTGCCTTTCATACTGAGAAGTTCTTGAAAGCAGGGAGTAGGCAGAGTCTTGTTCTTCCAGGCCTAACACAGTGCCTGAACCCCTTTATCTGACACCTAGCAGGGAATTGGAAGGAGTGCTTCACAAATAAGGACAGAAAGAGACCTGAAGGGGGAGATGGTTGTGTTCAGTTGGCAGTGACACTTCTATTGGCGTCATGAGCTTATTTACACATAAGGTTATTCAGCTTCCACATGCGGAGGCCATTGTCCTCAATGAGACTGTAGCTTTCTGACTATGCTCTGATGACTGTTATCTCCTTGAACAGTACCTCATACTGCTTCAGGTACACAGAATTTGCTGATTTGACAAAGAAAAATACCTGATGAGTCAAAAAACTTAGATTTTTAGGTAGATTACAAGAGATAATGTTAATTATTTCTCCTATGGTATGGGTAAACTCTGTCTATTGGGGATATTTAAAGGAAACCTGAAATTCCCTCTAGTTACTCTATCACATTTGGAATTTAATATTTTGTTTATTAGTAATCTATGTAAGGTCCAAGAAACTCCCAGATAATTTTTTCTTAGAAAGAATCAAGACTTGCCTTTATTTCAATTGCATTCATTAGAGAAAAGAATATGGAAAAGGTCGTAGTCTGGTAAAACAAATGTCCCCAGACCCATGGGCTGTAGGTCCCATTCTGAGTCAGCTTTTAGTTATCTGCCTTGTTATCCTAGTGGCCATAGCCATCACCTTTATCTGGCTCTTCAATATTCTCACTTTCAAATGAGGCCTCTTCCTCTTCCTCTTCCCAGATCACCTTCATTAACTCAAGGAAGCTGGGGGGCAGTCCCTGGTCTTTCAGCTCCCTAAGCCTACACCACAGGATCTCACTGAGGCTCCCCCAGCCATGACCTGCTCCAAGTGGACCTGATCTGCAATATTCCTAAGGATGGCTCGTTTCTCCACAGCTCTCCATAGCAGGGTCTCTAACCGAAGCACATAGGCTGAGACTTTCTCTCCTTCCTCCTGATAGGTCTTCAGATATTTTACCTGGGAGGTCCTGTGGCTCTCCAGGCTTCCAAACACTTTTTAAATGCCTCCAAACACTCTTCCACACTTATAGGATTGTCTGCCTGCATTATGTGCATGAGGTCCAGGGCGGGGCCACGCAAGCTTTCTATCAGCCACCTTTTCTTTTCTTTTCTTTTCTTTTCTTTTCTTTTCTTTTCTTTTCTTTTCTTTTCTTTTCTTTTCTTTTCTTTTCTTTTCTTTTCTTTTCTTTTCTTCTCTTCTCTTCTCTCTCCTCTCCTCTCCTCTCCTCTCCTCTCCTCTCCTCTCCTCTCCTCTCCTCTCCTCTCCTCTCCTCTCCTCTCCTCTCCTCTCCTCTCCTCTCCTCTCCTCTCCTCTCCCCCCTCCCTCCCCCTCCCCCTCCCCTCCCCCCTCCCCCCTCCCCCTCTCCCTCTCCTCTCTTTTCTGTCTCCGCTACTGGCCAAGTTTTGACTATCTCAGTGGCCTGTTCCAACCAGATTTCAAAGGGCTCTTCCTCTGAGGAGGGCACAGCACTCCCTGAGAACACTCTCAGCTTCCGATATCTCATTGGTAGCAGGGGCTGAGGGGCATGTGCTATTGCCTGTCCCAAAAAATGGGCCAGTAAACTGGTGACAGTTAGGACACTGCAACTGGAGACACTCCCTCCCACCCAAGGGCTCAGAGCATACCTGAGACTGTCTGCCCCTCTTTTTCTAGGAAGAGGTTCAGTCTTTCAAGAAATTGAGTGTCCTGGTTAGGGGTCTTAAAGACCACTTTCCAGATACTCCTCTTTCCCTGAACCTCACTGGGGATCACTGAGACATCAGTATCCTCCATGAGCTCTAATAAGATGGCACTGGCATTCTCATGCTTCTTGAATATTTTGCCAAGCAGTCTACACCTGCCCACAGGCTTTAAAGTTTCCTAGAGAACCTCCTGAATCTCAGCCTCATCACACTCCACTGGTATCCCCATAACCATCAGTGATTTCTGATCATCCACACTCATTATCCGGCACCAGTCCTCCAACAGTGCCAGCGCCATTGTCAGTTATTTATTTGCTCTAACTCTATGGGTACAATTAACTTGTAGTGCAGGTAGGCACTCCCTTAGGTTTCAAGTATCCTGGATAAACTCCTGAACCCACCAGGGAATGAGTTTCAGGTCAAGTCACTCCAACAGCAGTCCCAAAGTCTTCTGGACCAGTAACACTAACTTGCCCAGTGGCAAGAACTTGGCACTTCTGGTTGTCTCTAAACCTGATCCAAGGTGGGTGGGTAGTGTCTCAGTTACAACAGTGCCACTACCAGTGGCTCTGTAGTTCTGCACTGCTGTTTCTCTCCCCGATGCTAGTAGACATGTAGTGGTGTTGACCCTTCTCTGACCAACGGAGGCACCTATGAGAGCTGCCTTCACACTCTCCGCCCCACCTCTCTCTAGTCAGTGTGGAAACACCTCCATTCTGGAACCCAGAATTCCTGGAGAGAAGTCTTACAGCAGAGTGGCTTGGACTCCTAGTGAAACAATGGTCAGTTACCACACAGCCCTCTCCTTCCCAGGAAATATGAACACTCTCATTAGGGACAGAAGTGAGGGTAGACTGGGGTTCTACCCTGCATTGTATTTGTGTCTACCCCACTCTGTCAGATCTCTTTGCTTATGGTGACATTTTTTTTTTTTCCTCTTGGGGACTCTGCTGCAATTTGGCTTCCCCACCATTCTCTCATCGGACATGTCAATTAACATCTGAGCCCATTTGTGGCCAGGACTCAAGATCCTTCCCGCATGAAGAATGAAATCAGGAGATGTAGCCAGATACCTGTTTATGTATTCCAAAATGTTCCATGAGAATCAAGAAGTTTGTTTTTTCAGCTTCTAGCACAGGAAGTTGTTACCCAACTCCACACAATGGTCGTGTCTGGGTCCTTCTTAGCTCCAGCCAAGCCAAGCTGCCCTATTACACGTAAATTATAATGGTGTATTTTTATGGCTTGATAATATCCAATAATGAAGACTGTTAATGTGTTTATTCAAAAATATGACAGTCCTTCACAATGTAATTAA